CAATGTGTGAGGAGGACAGTTGACACGATGCGTCTTCTTGTAATTAAGTTCTCCAAGTGGATTACAGTATACGTTACGTTCCCTCTCTGAGGTATGAATTATATAGTTGCCAAATTGGTTTTTTCTACTGTCCATATAAAAATGGGGAAGGATTCAAGGTCGGTGATGATCCACATAAAAATGAGGACATGTGAGTTTGGTATGAATTATATATAGTTGCCAAATTGGCTTTTTCTACTGTCCATGTATTCCCTTCATCGCATTCACAGATGAACGGCATTGTATTCAAGACTTCTTAGCGGCAACTTCTTTTCCTACTTGTTGCTCACGACATAATGTTAGGGAGTATCTATTCTATATGAATATATGAATATATGACCTTCTTAAGGACATAAAAATGAGGATATATGACCTTCTTAAATTTTTAATCAGGAAGTACCCACCGGACTCTAGGCAATTCTGGAATAATTTGATAAAAAAAAAAAAAAAAAAAAGAAGAAGCAAAAGCCCAAGCAATAATTTGATGCAGAAGTACCTTTGATTTTGTACGAAGTCTCTTCAGACACAAGTGCCCCAAATGCATAATAGCACCTAGTTGTAACTGAGTAGATCTTCATCCTTGCTTCTTCCTCACTGTCGTTGAGACACAAAAAAATGCATCAATCAATTAATACAAGCAATGTGAACTACTTTAGAGAGTGATCATATCTTTTATACCGTAGTTGATCGGATATTGCATATTAGACGTTATCCAGGTTTGACATGTTCGGACCGTTGGATCAACTCCAATTTAATATATGTTGATCTAGACATTCCTAGGATCGTGTAGGATTTTGCGGATCGTGAATCGGAGACCCGGATGTTCCGATCCAATAACTTAAAGTTTGCATTAAACGATAACCATCCGATCTCGAGCAATCTGACCATTCGATCTAGACCAAACTTGCAGGACGTGTATTCTAAGCTAATACCATCCCCTCCTCGTACCTGTAGGGGATTTTTCAAATTCGGGGATCCCCATACCCGATACCCGTTTGGCCCCGAAATCTTCCCTCGTTAGGGTCGAGGACCCAACGGAAACCCGCCCCCGCGAGGATTTTTGCCATCCCTAACCCCACCACCTTGTTCTGTTTGTTTTGTCAATTTCTCCCACTTTCTATTTTGTTTGTTTTTTCTTTTGTTGCCCACTGCTCACTTTTGATCCCTTGTTCCATCTTCTTGTGCGTTTATCCCTCTCTTGGGCTGCGTTCTTGCACCACTGCTATATTACTTAAAATGGAAAAATATCAACTTAGTCCATCCATATTATAACACTTACTACTTGCAAGAGTGGAACTAAAATTTTCAAAAGGGTAGGCTAATATTTTGTTAAATGATAAAACAAAATTAAGTCAAACCAAGAACAAATAAATTTTAATTTTTTTGAACTTGAACGATTCAATTAACATGATATAAAACTAGAAAACTACCGACTTTTCTTAACTACCCAGCCATAAAAGTGAAGAATTTGCACATGTGGGAGTTGGCTGGGTGGGCTAAATGTCAAAATCTTGAAATTAAGTGCTATAAAAAGTATTTTTGACCAAGGTTGCACTGGGCTACAGTCGAGGGTAGCCTATATGTAACTCCACCATTATTACGTGAACGTATGGCTCTGATTTTGACACGTTCCCTCTCAGAAACAGAAAAAACATTCTTCCACTTTTACCCTTCTTCTTTTCCTCATATACACAATTACAATGTGTGAGGAGGACAGTTGACACGATGCGTCTTCTTGTAATTAAGTTCTCCAAGTGGATTACAGTATACGTTACGTTCCCTCTCTGAGGTATGAATTATATAGTTGCCAAATTGGTTTTTTCTACTGTCCATATAAAAATGGGGAAGGATTCAAGGTCGGTGATGATCCACATAAAAATGAGGACATGTGAGTTTGGTATGAATTATATATAGTTGCCAAATTGGCTTTTTCTACTGTCCATGTATTCCCTTCATCGCATTCACAGATGAACGGCATTGTATTCAAGACTTCTTAGCGGCAACTTCTTTTCCTACTTGTTGCTCACGACATAATGTTAGGGAGTATCTATTCTATATGAATATATGAATATATGACCTTCTTAAGGACATAAAAATGAGGATATATGACCTTCTTAAATTTTTAATCAGGAAGTACCCACCGGACTCTAGGCAATTCTGGAATAATTTGATAAAAAAAAAAAAAAAAAAAAGAAGAAGCAAAAGCCCAAGCAATAATTTGATGCAGAAGTACCTTTGATTTTGTACGAAGTCTCTTCAGACACAAGTGCCCCAAATGCATAATAGCACCTAGTTGTAACTGAGTAGATCTTCATCCTTGCTTCTTCCTCACTGTCGTTGAGACACAAAAAAATGCATCAATCAATTAATACAAGCAATGTGAACTACTTTAGAGAGTGATCATATCTTTTATACCGTAGTTGATCGGATATTGCATATTAGACGTTATCCAGGTTTGACATGTTCGGACCGTTGGATCAACTCCAATTTAATATATGTTGATCTAGACATTCCTAGGATCGTGTAGGATTTTGCGGATCGTGAATCGGAGACCCGGATGTTCCGATCCAATAACTTAAAGTTTGCATTAAACGATAACCATCCGATCTCGAGCAATCTGACCATTCGATCTAGACCAAACTTGCAGGACGTGTATTCTAAACCTTGTGGAACCCATAGGAACTTCCAGATTAGAAATCGGAGGTCGTGGGCCCCGTGGGCCCGATTGACCTAATTTGGAAAGTTTGACTGCCCAGTTGACCGAGCGTCTTTTGATGCTATCTCTTCATCCGAAACACGTAGTTAGTGCCAGTTTGACATTGCTTATTTGGGGTGATAAGTGATTTTTTAAAAATTTTGAGAAGCCCAACCCGTTTGGTAAACTGTAAGAAAATCACTTATTGTTAAAAATTGCTATGAGAGAAAGCTATAAGGGAAAGCAGCTAATGAGGTGCTTTCATTTTCTGATTATGCAGGAATCAGTTTTGAAGAGGCGCTGGGTTTAATGATTATGTGAAAATCATTTTCTGATTATGCGTAAAATCAATACCAACAACACTTTAAACAAAAATTTTACCAAACACCAAACTGCTTTCTCTCACAGATGATTTCTCTCACAACAAATCTGACAGCGATTATTTTCACAACACAGCAATGCCAAACTGGCCCTTAGACTTTAGGAATGTCTCGTTCCTCGTACTGTACTTGAAACCTGGGAAATTAGGATTTTAATTTAAAGTTTCCGTTCAACGTATTTTGTATTAATTTCGTACTTGTTTTCTGAAATAGGTGCTCTGGCTACTCGCACGCAGCAGGTGGGACCCTCTCAGGGTCAAGCAGCGTGGGACTACTTGTGATTGGACTTTGGTTTTAAATAATAAGCATGGTTTTTTTTATGGAAAAATTATGTGTAATGTTTTAATGGTTTATTGAATATATTATATATTCAATTGTTGAACTTGATGTTTTTATATAGCAATTGCAATATATTTTTGGGTTTTAGCATATTTGAGTATCTTGAGTTTATATATATATATATATATATATATGGATTTTGACAATTTCTATCTATGTTGGTTATGTGTGGGGTACTTGGGTTGTTGATGTGAGATTTTGGAAAGAATTGCGATTATAGTATGTCAGTTGAAGTGCTATATGCACTACCCTATGTACCTCCCCGGTTACGGAAATTATGGAATAGAATTGGATTATTGAGATACTTGGATATGTTGGAACCCGGCACCTTGACGGGGTGTTTTGTAAACACAAAGCGGGGTAGTCTGTGCACGTAGGACTTGTCGCAGGCGTACGACTCTTGAAGATTCGACTGTATGTGCTGGTAGAGTTAGTCCCCTGGTTGGACGGCTCGTTCCCTTGCCACATGGTCAATTGAGGATTCTTCCATGTGGACCAGTCATACAATCCCTGGTTGGATTATTTCCCCGGTACAAACTAGGTGATGTCATTTATATATATATATATATTATACATATATACATATACATCTATTCATTCGTTCTTGTTTCTCAGTGAGGATACTTCCTCCCTCATTGTGCCAATGGGTACGCGTTTCGAGAGTTTAGTTTGGGAATCGTAAGGAAAAGTTTGGATGGGTTGACTTATAAAGTTTCATTATGGGTTTTTGGATTTAGTTATGGTTTTGACCAAATTTTATATATATAGGGTTATGACGGTTTTGAGTGCATATGGTTTTCTGCATCGTTTTCTAAACGGTGGGGGTTATATTACTTTGGTTTCAATTGAACTAAATTTTGTTTTGCCCACTCACACTTTTCTGTTTTGCATCCCTTTGCCAGTAGTTGATTGAACTGAGCAGCAGAGCCGGGTCGCGAGCTTCCAAACTCCGAGCCTTCGTAGGGCTCCTTTACTCTTTTATTGCTGTTGAACTCCCGTTTCTGTTTGTATTTTGAATTCTTAGATATGCTATGTTATCGCCCTGTAGGGTTTGATTTGTGAGGCTGGAGGCCCTTGTTGTAAACTATTTATTTGTTCTGAAGCATGTTGCCTATTGGGATATTAAACTGTGATTTTAACATGTTGAAAAATTTGGGAAAATGTCCATTTTTCAAGGGAGACTTGGTCTTTAGTAAGTGGGCTCGGCATCGGGATGATACCGGAAATACGACAGGATTTGTCCCGTTTCGAGGAATCCGGGGCGGATCCTATCAGTTTAAGGTTTTTTAGACCTGCTGAAAAAGTAAACATGATTTTTTTGGTTTCATGAACATAATGTGACCAATAGAAGCCAATAGTTGTAGGTTGCAGCGCATCTTTGATGAAATATACATTTTCTATTTTAGTTTTTTTTTTCTTTGTTTAAAGTTATTTCTTGCTCTGAGTGACTGAATCCGAGGCAAAAAAATTGACAAAAAAAAGGACTGTTATGTAGCGCCGAGTCCAAGGCAAAAATGCGTTCTTCACTTAGACGTGTTTGGGGACAGCGTTTAAAATGGAAAAGGTTGAGGGATAAATTATTTCTGTCATGGGTTGAAAGCATAGCAGAGGCGGCTAAGAAAGGTGGTAGCGGACAGCAAGAGCTCTGTTGGGATAGCTATGAGAAGATAAAGCAAAAATTACATCTCCAAGAGCTTCAGCTGGCTGCTGAGAAGAAAAAGGAAAAGGCAAAGGAGAGGGCAAAGAAAAGAGCAATGACAGCAGAACAGGTTAAAGAAAAAAAATATGGCAAGGATTACTCGTGAGAGGAGAAAAGATGGAGAAGTCTATGAAGATATTGAAGAGTTGACAGATCTTCAAGGGCGGAATTGTAAGCAGAGATTAATGAAGGTAATTGCTCAGTGGCCAAGACAATATTAAGTTGTAGATAGAAGCAATTATGTAGTTCACCATATATAAATTAGAAATACATGACATATCACTCACAAACTTAGCATAAATAAATAGTATCGCTAAGCATACAATGTTAAGTTCATGAGTAGGTCAAGAGAAGTGAGTTTTGGAGGGGGAGGAGTATTCAAATTACAGATGAAATCTGTTTAACATTGCACCATAATGCTTTGATATATGTAAAGAAACTGACGGTGGATAGAAACAATGGGTAATTATTGCTTTTCATATTTGAGACAGGACTAAAGTTAAAATCTTGTATATTGCAAAATTATTTTCCTGATTCATAAACCAGCTTGCAAAATTTCTTCTTCTTGAGCTCTGTTCTTGATCAGGCTTCAAACATTTAGGGAACCTTGCTAGATCAGCATATTAATTATTTTACTTCATTTTTTCTAATCTGCTGCTTTTAAATGGCATCACCTTTTCCAATGTTGTTTGTTTGAGTGTGTTATTGAATTCTCTTTCTTCTTAATAGTTTGAAAGAAAAACTTCAACAAATGGACAAACTGCTGCTCGAGGGGACATAGTCATGTCGCGTATCTCAGCTTTTGAGAAACTAGATCTAGAGCTTATAAAGATAGAAAAAATGCAGAAAGAATTTTCTTTCGCAGACCAGATCAGAGCTGCCAAAAACAAAAGAATGGAATTGACTATGGAAGCCTCATCCTCTGTTCATGTAGCCAACAAGAAACCAGGGGAGTATGCTTAAATTTCCACATCCCTAGCAGCAGTTGAAATAGAGGTGTATGGAGGGCAACTTTTTTTCTTTTTCTCTTCTTTAAAGAGGGACAATTTGCTTGTTTTTATGTAGCTTAATGTTCATTTGTTGATGGTTTGTAGGAAGAGAAAATATCGGACTCTTGGACGCATTTTTCCAACCAGTCGCAAGAGTCTGGTCATTTGTTTTCAGGGCTTCATTCATGTTATATGGAAGAGGTCCATCTGGTGACAGTGCAGCGTTTTTATGTGAAAAATTTGTTAGGTGAATTTGTCATGACCAGAAATTATATCATCCGCTTTCAAGCACAGGAAATATCTGATTTGCCTTGCCAATATCCATGCTGGTTGTGATATTGACTTTAGACAGTTGAGTTGTTATAAGCTGTATAGGATGTGTCATGATTTTTTTAACAGTAGTAAAACACCTCACCGATTTGGTTCTTCTCTTTTAGTTTGTAAACAATTTTATTGTTCTGCAGGGGTTGTGTGATGGATTCAAACTCCACAATAGAGCCCCAAGGTTTTGTAAGTTAAACATGGAAGAAAGAAAACCATAAGTTGTGAGATTCGTAGTTTATTTTCTCCAAAATAAATTGGACAGCAGCATCATATATTATATTTTCTTTTTTTTTTTTCAAATATATCAGAAACAGCATACTGAGGAGTTCATAATGATGTTGTAGATTTTTTCCTGCAGGTGAAGTTATGGGGGAAGAAACCCTAAACTCAAGCAGGCAACATATATCCTTTAAATTTGAGTCCAGTTACTTTGAAATGAAGAAGAAGAAAAAAAAAGGGTAAAGCAAACTGAAAATGCAAAATAAAAAGTACAATATTAATAATATATATCTAGCCTCTAAGCCTTCTTTTCATCCTCTTGAGGGGGACTGTTATCATCACATAGAGCATATCTTGTAGATTGTCTATGAATTGAAAATACGCATATCTCCATGTCTTGTTAATAACTAAAGAACCACGGACTCACCAAAATCCCAATATGAACCCCAAGTACACAATGATAATGTAGAACCATGGAAGTTGATGATGCCCATTGCCCTCGTCTTTATTGTTCTTGTTATCTGCATCCATGTCCTTATTTGGTATGCACTTATTTGGAAGTGGGGCACCACAAAGTTTTGGATTCCCCTCAAAGGTAGAAGCGTTGAAGCTTTGGAGCTGGGTGCCTGTTGGTATTGGTCCTTCAAGATTATTGTACAAGGCATCAAATTCTTTCAACAAATTATGGCTTACCAATGACTATGGGATTATTCCAGACAAGTGATTCATGGAGAGGTTCAAAACCTCTAAAGTTTTAAGGTTAGATATTTGGTCTGGAATGATGCAGGAAAGTTGTTGGAGTTAAGAGCCAACTCGCGGAGAAGCTGCAATTGGCCTATCTCAGCAGGTATATAACCACTAATGTTATTGTTAGATATGTCTATCACTGCTGTAAATGAAGACAATTTTTGAGGTAGCAAAAGTTGATTTGCAGGATTTATGTTGCTGACGACATGCAATTCAAATTCTACTTGAGAGGCAATATTAGGTTCATAATTCAACCTTGGTAGTCTACAAAGTTGCTTTGGAAATCCGCCTGAAAATCAATTCTCAGACAAGTTGATATAAAACAGTCTTGGAAGAGTCCCCAACCAACTTGGAATTGGCCCCGTGATTTGATTAGCACGCAGACTCAAGATCTCTAGATTCTTGAGTTTTGATAACCATAGAGGTATTTGCCCATTGAGGTTAGAATCATCCAAACTCAAAAACCGAAGATTTTGGAATCCGTCAAAGTCGACCATGTCATCATCATATGGCATTCCCTCACCTTCAAAGGCACTAGTAAGAATGAGTGTGTGAAGACTTTTGAACTCATCAATATCTTCATTGTGAGGTTGGTGAATCGGTTGTAACCAACATAGAGGAAGGACAAGGATTTCAATGAAAGAATTTCAGCTTGTATTTGTCCCTCTAGATGATTTCTACCTAATGCAATGGCTTTTAAGGACCGACATGAGTAAAGGCTTACTGGAACTGTACCAGTGAAGCTATTGCTCTTTAGATCCAGTTTAGTAAGTTGACTAAGTCTGGAGAAATCAAGCATGAAGATATCACCTTCCAAGTTGTTGTATCCCAAACACAGTTCTACAAGGTTTGTGCAATTCATCAAAGATGGGGGCAAAGCACCTTCTAAATTGTTGAAATCAAAGGTCAAAAACTTCAACTTGGAGAGCTTCCCCAAATTGAGAGGATGCTTGCCACCAAAATGATTAAAGTAGAGGTCAAGGATGGCAAGTTTGGTGAGGTTGACAATTTTATCACTAATGACTCCATGTAGTGAATTGAGAGGTAGTGGAATTTCTTCAAGTTTGGCAGCATTATAGATATCTTCTGGAACGGAACAAAGAGAACAGAACCACAACGGTCGTGGTCACCAGTTTCCAACTCAACGCTAGTTTCGACATTGCTCAAGGATTGACGAATGTTTCGACTAGAAAGACCGAACCACAAAGATGATAATATAAAATAGATGAACACTTTGTTTCGCCTGAAAGAGAAACCTAGAAAAATGAGGGCTATACTTTTGTGTTCTTCCTCGAATCGAATAAGGAATAACAGGGGCGCTCTCTCTTCAGTGTTATTGCTCTTCCTCAATCAAAGCTGATAAAAAAATTGGCCTCCTAATTGAACAAATCGAACAGCTGGATTGGAGGGGACTTCTGTTTTAGAAGGGACGTCTGTTTTCGACTGGACGTTTTGGAGGGAGGAGAGAGAAGAAGGCCTCGTTCTAATACAACACTTACACTTACAATTGCTTTTCATGCAGCCGTTAGATTAGATCCAACGGTGTTCTCATGTAATGTTCTCATATATGTGCTCTCACTAGATAACTGACCCATTTCAGTTTCAGACCAAAAAGAGGTCGTGATCTTTCTCAATCCTTAACTTGTCGCACAGAAAAATCTGAAGAAGAGAAGAGAAGAGAAATGAGTAGAGAAAAATTAGTAGGCCCCCCCAGCCCCAAAACTCCTTCGTCTGCTTTATTTTGTCGGCCCCTGGCTGTAATTCATGAATTTTCATTTCAATTTTAAGTCTTTGGCTTTTGTGAGAGAGAGAGAGAGAGAGAGAGAGAGAGAGAGAGAGAGAGAGAGAGAGAGAGTCTTCTTCTTCTTCTTCGTTTTTAAATGTTTGGCTGATTTTAAATTATGGGTAGTTATTTGCATTTGTTTTCTTTCAGGGCTTCATGGAAGAGGTCCATCCGGCGATAATGCAGTGAAAAATTTGTCAGGTGAATCTATCATGACCAAAAATTATATCATCCGCTTTCAAGCACATGAAATATCATATTTGGCTTGCCAATATCCATGTTGTTATAAGCTGTATAGGATGTGTCATGACAACTTTATGAACCGAACAACATATATCCTTTAAATTTGAGTCCAGTTACTTTGAAATGAAGAGGAAGAAAATAAAAAGGGTAAAGCAAACTGAAAATGCAAAATAAAAAGTACAATATTAATAATATATATATCTAGCCTCTAAGCCTTCTTTTCATCCTGCTGAGAGGGACTGTTATCATCACATAGAGGAGCATATCTTGTAGATTGTCTATGAATCGAAAATTCGCATATCTTCATGTCTTGTTAATAACTTAAGAACCACAAACTCCCCAAAATCCTATTATGAATCCTGACGTTGCAAAGATATAAAACCATGGAATCACATTTCCATGTCTTTATTGTTCTTGTTATCTACATCCATGTCCTTATTTGGTCCGCACTTATTTGGAAGTGGGGCACCACAAAGTTTTGGGTTCCCCTCAAACGTAAAAGCTTTGAAGCTTTGGAGCTGGGTGCTTGTTGGTATCGATCCTTCGAGGTTATTATATGAGACATTAAATTCTTTTAAGAAATTAAGGCTTGCCAATAACAATGGGATCATTTCAGACAAGTGATTCATGGAGAGGTCCAAAATCTCTAAATTTTTTCGGTTAGATATTTGGTTTGGAATGATGCCAGAAAAGGTGTTGAAGTCAAGAAAAGGCTAGTTGAGAAGATGTAATTGGCCGATCTCAACAGGTATATAACCACTAATGTTATTGTTAGATAAGCGTATTATTGCTGGAACAGAAGACATTTTTTGTTGTAGAATAGTTTGCTTTGCAAATATGTCGAAGATGTTGTTGCTGAAGATTGGCAATTCAAATTCATAACCAGTGTCGTCTAATTGAGATGCAATATTAGGTTCATGTACCAACCTTGGTAGTCTACAAAGTTGCTTTGGAAAGTCACCTGAAAATTGGTTCTCTGACAAGTAGATATGAAACAGTCTAGGCATAGTCCCCAACCAACCTGGAATTGGCCTTGTGATTTGATTAAAATCCAGTCGCAAGATTTCTATATTCTTGAGCTTTGATAACCATATAGGCATTTGACCAGTGAGGTCAGAATTAAACAAACTCAATAACCGAAGATTTTGGAATCCATCAAAATCAACCATGTCATCATCCGATGGCATTCCCTCACCTTTAAAGGCACCATCAAGCATGAGTACATGAAGACTTTTGCAACTCATTAATATATTCATTGCCCCTGTGAGGTTGGTGAATCGGTTGTGACCAAGGCAGAGGAAGGACAAGGATTTCAATGAAATAATTTCAGCTTGTATTTGTTCCTCTAGATGATTTCTACTCAATCCAATGGCTTTTAACGACTGACATGAGTAAAGGCTTACAGGAACCATACTAGAGAAGTTATTTATCCTGAGGTCAAGTTTAGTAAGTTGACTAAGTCTGGAGAAATCAAGCATGAAGATATCTCATTCAAGTTGTTGTTTAACAAATGCAGTTGTACAAGGTTTGTGCAATTTATCGAAGACTGGGCCAAAGAACCTTCTAAATTGTTGAAATCAAGGGTCACCAATTTCAACTTGGAGAGCTTCCCCAAATTGTGAGGAAGCTTGCCATTCAATTGATTAAAGTAGAGGTCAAGGATTGCAAGGTTAGTGAGGTTGACAATTCTACCACTAATGGCTCCATGTAGTGAATTGAGAGGTAATGCAATTTCTTCAAGTTTGGTAGCATTATAGATATCTTCTGGAAATAATCCCAAGAGGTTATTGTGACCGACATGAAAAACCTACAGTTTGGAACACTTTCCTAGCCCAGGAGCAAGGTTGCCACTGAATACATTGGAAGAAAAATCCAATAGCCTAAGGGAGGGAGAAGAATGAAAACAAATAGAGGATGGGACATACCCCGTGAAGGTATTGTTGCTAACATTGAAACTAGTCAAGTTGCTTGCTTGTTGGAAGAATGAAGATGGAATTGCACCAAATAAAGTGATTGCTGGACAAATCAACTATCCGTATATTAATAGATGGTAGAGAAAGTGGTAGTTCTCCACAAAGAAGGTTATAGCTCAAATCAAGGATCTCAAGTTGATTCAAAGACAAGAAGAACTGAGTTTCAAGTGAACCATATAGTGAATTGTGGGAAAGGTTCAAGTGGGTGAGATGGGTGAGATTTGCAAGTGAAAAGGGAGAGATACCTCCTTTGAGTCCTTTGGAAGGTAAGAGCAAACGGGTGACCCAACCATCGTGATCACAAGTGATGCCCTTCCAACGACAACAATCAAGGGATGTCCAATTTAAAGGAGGAGAAGATAGAGTTGAGGCAAAGGGCGGGAGGGAGCTGCGTTCAGTTTGTTTGCAGGCATGGATATTTGTAGAATTAATGCAAGAGAATAAGAGGAAGAGAAGGAAGGCACGAGCCATTAGGTTATAAGCTTGCACTAACATGTTGCTTTGTGTATGTGTCGTTGCTCACATGTATTTACATATATAAGAGCAATGATTGCTTGAAAGGGATGCAAACATCAGTACAAATTGAGAAGTCGATCGGCAAACAACAACCACAATGCAAATTGTGTGGTTGAAGAGATATTCTCGTTAATGAAACCAGAGAGAAGACCTCATTAATGAAACAAGTTGGGCCATAAAGAGACCTTTAAAAGTGATCAGAACTGCCGGCAAGGACCTGTTCTGGTTGGTTTTGAGTTATCTAGATATCTTTAAGACATTTAGATGTCTTTGGAAAATTTGTTGAGGTTTTCATACGATGAAAGACTTGACTCCTGTTTGTTTCATTTAATTTGCTGAACCAAGTTTGTAAGAGAGTTCACTCTCTTTTGAATTATGTCTAATTTTTCCTTATCTGGCTTTGCGAAGGAATGCTTGGTTTCCTCTTGGTTATATGAACTCTTTCTTGAGGTGGACTCATTCTTGAGGAAGATTGCTTGTTTGCTTTTGGTAGCTTGTAAGATCTTGTGATCTTTGATTTCTTGGGTCAGCCTGGGCTGGTTTTTGAGTTTTTGTTTTGTCTGATCGGTTGGTTGGTTGGATGTCTTTTGTTTAGTCCAGGTCCAGGCACTCTTGTATTTATAGAAGAAAATGTCATGAGGAAATCTAGATATTTTCAGACTTAGGCTAAACCTTATTTTAATGCACAAGTGGCAAAAAAGCGCTCTGTCAATCAATGCATTGATCGTTTTTGGCTTTCGCTCATCAAAGTTCTTGAATGTCTCATGATCATTCCTTTTTGTAGAGAGGCCTGAACTGAAGTGAATATGATGCTCAAAAAACCCTCTAACTAAGGCCATGTCGACCTTAATTTCGAGCTATCGAGGTCATCAAAACTATTTGGAGTTTAGTTACCAACGGTGAGAATTCATCTTGATACCTTGATAGCTAATAAGAAAAGTCCAATGGGTTTAGACTAATTTGATACTTTTCTATGCCCATTACTTTATGAACAAACAAAATATATCCTTTATATTTGAGTCCAGTTACTTTGAAATGAAGAAGGAAAAAAAAGGTAAAAACAAACTGAAAATGCAAAATAAAAAGTACAATATTAATAATATATATCTACCCTATAAGCCTTCCTTTCATTGTGTTGATGCAAACTGTTATCATCACATAGAACCTTTCTTGTAGATTGTCTATGAATCGAAAATACTCATATCTCCATGTCTTGTTAATAACTAAAGAACCACAAACACCCCAAAATCCTACTATGAACCCCAATGCTGCAATGATATAAAACCATGGAAGTTGATGAAGTCCATTTTCCATGTCTTTGTTGTTCTTGTTATCTACGCCCATGTCCTTATTTGGTTCGCACTTATTTGGAAGTGGCGCACCACAAAGTTTTGGGTTCCCCTCAAATGCAGAAGCGTTGAAGCTTTGGAGTTGGGTTCCTATTGGTATTGGTCCTTCGAGGTTATTGCATGAGACATTAAATTGGTTTAAGAAATTAAGGCTCACTAATGACAGTGGGATTCTTCCAGACAAGTGATTCATAGAGAGGTTCAAAATCTCTAAATTTTTTAGGTTAGATATTTGGTCTGGAATGACGCCGGAGAAGTTGTTGGAGTCAAGAACTAACTTGCGGAGAAGCTGCAATTGTCCGATCTCAGCAGGTATATAACCACTAATGTTATTGTTAGATAAGTCTATCATTGTTGAAAAAAAAGAAAATTTCTGACTTGGGGTTATGGCGGTCACATCGAAGACATGCAATTCAAATTCATATTCATCTACTTGAGATGCAATAGGTTCATAAAGCAACCTTGGCAGTCTACAAAGTTTCTTTGGAAATTCACCTGAAATTCGGTTGTGTGACAAGTTTATGTGAAACAACCTAGGAAGAGTTCCCAACCAACTTGGAATTGGCCCTGTGATTTGATTGAAACTCAGTTCCAACATCTCTAGATTCTTGAGCTTTGATAACCATAAAGGTATTTGACCATTGAGGTCAGAAGAACCCAAACTCAAAACCCGAAGATTTTGGTATCCATGAAAAGCAACCATGTCATCATCAGATGGCACTCCCTCACCCACAAAGGAACCAGTAAGCAAGAGTGCGTGAAGACTTTTAAAACTCATGAATATCTTCATTGCCCCTGTGAGGTTAGTGAATCGGTTGAATCCAATAGAGAGGAAGGACAAGGATTTCAATGAAAGAATCTCAGCTTCTATTTGTCCCTCTAGAGGATTTTTAGACAATCCAATGGCTTTTAGGGACCTACACGAGTAAAGGCTTATTGGAACTGTACCAGTGAAGTTATTGAACCTTAGGTCAAGTTTAGTAAGTTGACTCAGCCTTGAGAAATCAAGCATGGAGATATCTCCTTCCAAGTTGTTGTTTCCCAAATGCAATTCTACAAGGTTTGTGCAATTCATCAAAGATGGGGGCAAAGCTCCTTCAAAATTGTTGAAATCAAAGGTCACAAACTTGAACTTGGAGAGCATCCCCAAATTGAGAGGAAGCTCGCCCCCAAAATGATTAAAGGAGAGGTCAAGGATGGCAAGGTTGGTGAGGTTGACAATTTTATCACTAATGGCTCCATGTAGTGAATTGAAAGGCAATGCAATTTCTTCAAGTTTAGTAGCATTATAGATATCTTCTGGAAGTAATCCTGAGAGGTTATTGCGACTGGCACGAAAAACCTGCAATTCAGAACACTTCCCTAACCCAGGAGCAAGGTCACCATTAAATAGATTGGAAGAAAAATCCAATAGCCTAAGGGAGGGAGAATAATGGAGACAAATAGAGGATGGGACATACCCTGTGAAGGTATTGTTGTTGACATTGAAACTAGTCAAGTTGCTTGCTTGTTGGAAAAATGAAGATGGAATTGCACCAAAGAAGTGATTGCTGGACAAATCAATTGTTTGGATACTGCTGGATGGTAAAGAAAGTGGTAGCTTTCCAGAAAGACGGTTATAGCTCAAATCTAGGATCTCAAGTTTATTCAAAGACAAGAAGAACTCTCAAGTGAACCATATAGTGAATTGTGGGAAAGGTTCAAGTGGGTGAGATTTGCAAGTGCAAAGGGTGAGATACCTCCTTTGAGTCCATTGGAAGGCAAGAGCAAACGGGTGACCCAACCATCTTTATCACAAGTGATGCCCTTCCAATGACAGCAATCAATGGATGTCCAATTTAAAGGAGAAGAAGATAAAGTGTGGGGTGGGTGGGGGTCTATTTGTCAATCACCATCTTGACTTAAAGATTGTTGATTATGAAGACTAAATCTTATCGCTTAAGTTAAGATATAATATATTAGAGAGGCTAGTAATTACGGATATCTTGGAAATTCCCACTCTTAAATAAATAAATAATTAAAAATCTACTGTAAATCAATTGTAATTGACTCCATAAAACAATTTAAATGGATTAGTTAGAGGGTAGGGCCTTTCACCTCTCGAGATACCAGGTTAAACACAAGGAATTTCATAATGTTTCTCGAAATATGATGAGGGGGGGAATTACTTTTCCCTCATTGAAGGACATTCCCAAAAGTTCAATATTCTTTTGCTCTTATGTTTTATGTCACTGATGATATCAAAATACAATTAATATAAATGAGGCAGTTTGTAGAGGACAAGCATAAATCTTTTTCATGTGTAAATCCTATCCTAGGATTCTGATGCGATTACCTTTTTTAAGCCTAAAGGCATAAAATTCCATGATCCGTAGTGACCGTATGGTATACATAAGATGTTTTGTGCCTATCTTCTTGTATTGTCCAATCTGCCAAAAACCTGTTTTTAATTATATTGGAACTTAGAGAAGATTTTAAGTTTTTTGTAAGTTTGTAACACTTTCTTTTGTTTTATAGGGATTGGGAGCTGATATTTTCATGAATTGTATCTTTCTTCTTCTTTTTTGTTCTTTTGTTTTATATATACAAGCGTTATTGGAGAGAGAGGGTTTTCTCACATACACATATACTGTCAAGGTGACATGAGAGTTTGAAATTAAGACCATTGATTTACAAATCAAGGCCGTTTTCCATTAGACTAGACTCTATTCATGAATTGTATTTTTAACTATATTATAAGTGACCGAAAATTTGACCTATTCCAATCCTAAACAATTTTCTCCATCTTCGCTCACCACTTGGTCAGTACCGGACATTAAGAAATTTATATCATTCGCTTTCAAGCACAAGAAATATCTGATTTCCCATGCCAGTATCCATGCTGGTTGCGTTACTTTATGACAGTTGAGTTAAATTGCAAATGTCTTACAACTTGTTTATTGCAGAGTTGTTATAAGCTGTATAGGATGTGTCATGATTTTTTTTAACAGTAATAAAAAATCTCACGGATGTAGTTAACGCGCTTTCAGATTTGGATGCAAACATCACTGCAAATCGAGAAGTCGGCAAACAACAACCACAGAATGCAAATTATTGATATTGAAACCTTTGGGCCACCAGGAGAGGACTTGACCGTGATATGTGTGATAAAGAGAATCCTTGCTGATAACTGATACCAGCTCATCTTCTATGTTAATCACTCAAAGTCCAAGTTCAAAGTTGTTTTTCTTGTTGATGACTCATCTTTGTCTTCTGAGTAACTGATATCTCCACACGTTTGACGTGTGCTTTCCCTCATTGGTGTTTTCTTTCATTATGATGATAATTTTTCATTGAATTTGGAAGATAGATGGTGTTATTTTTCTTGCCAGATAGATGCGGCCTGAGAGTGACAGTGCCAGTCAAGCCTGATTCAACATTATACATTGAAGTCCTATTCATGTTCAAAGTTGTTTTCTTGTTCATGATTGGAGGATAGTCATTCTTTCAAAGTTGTTTGCCCCAAAAGAAGGCAACTACGATAATAACGTTTCTTGGTAGAGCAACAAGTTAACAACTACTTGCCGAACATATTGACATATATTTCAATGAAAGAATCTGAGGTTTTATTTGCCCTCTAGATGATTTAAATCAATTGAATTGCTTTCAGGGACCCACATGAGTAAATGCTTATTGGAAATGTACCAGTAACCTAATTTAAAGTCCACAACGCCTTCAAAGTCCTCAAAGTAAAAAATTGGCGAAACAACCATAACAATACAATACAAATTCTTCAAACCCCTTCTATACATGTCGAACAGAGATTTCAACTAATGTAGCCAAAATTGTAAACCACATTAGGTCTAAAGCATGATGAGAGGACTGGACCTTCTAGCAGTTACTATCGACTACTGTAGGTGACGCAGTGCCGGTCAAGTCCTATCTTAACATTACATACATTGACATCTTATTGATGTTACACTGCAGGAGAAGCAGTGCCGGTCAAGCAAATCTTATTCTTCGCTCTTCATTCACAAGTCACTACCATCTGTCAACCACATGACCAAACAGATGAGCTTTGGAAAATGGTATATCAAGCAAAAAAGAAAGGCATAAAAGATGACACACACGGAGTAAATTCATGGATACATGAAACCCCCATAATTATACTTAAGTCTATGCGACTCAATATTTAAACAACTTATACTACAAGGGCATGCAGTCTTCAGTCTTCTTTCGTACGTCCCAGCAACGTCAACAACTTTATAAACCATCCAAACAAAATTCTACTCGAACCAACTCATATAGTAATTTGTAACAAGAGACTTGATGAGAGAAGAATATTTGACACAGTAAATGGTAAGGTAAATTCTCTCAACAATTTGGACCTAAAGGATTCTCATTTTAATGGGTTCCATGATGGGTGGGATGATCTCAAATCCGAGAATTTGTAGCCCAAAATCATATCCCCTATTGGATTTCATTGAACATATGTAAGGGGAGATTCTCACTATAGTTATCTTAATTGGTGCAATAAGATATTTTCCAAGCATCTTATCTACTATCATGGCTTCAGGTTAAGAGAATATTACAGAGGGAGTTGCGGAAGGAACAGAGCTGCACAGGTAGATGGGTTATACATGAAATCAGATTAAAGAAGAGAGATAATAGAAAGAAAAAAAAAAAAAAAGAATGAGAGAGAGAGAGGAGTTTTAGTCTGTGTTTGTTTGCCAATAAAGTAATAATAAATGCAAAGTTAAGTGCATCTTAAATGAATTCTGAACTTTTAGATTGGGATAGATCTAAGGGCTAAAGATGTGTGTAAAAAAGTGTGGTTTTATGTGTGTCTCCCGATCCTAACCTATATATATATATATATATATATATATAGTACCCTTCTATTGAGGGATCTCTCAAATAATTTTATTTGAGGGACGCCATTTAGGGTACCCTACAATTTTTTTCTCAATGATCCACACCATCTATTTTTTAGGTCTTCATTCATAGATCATCCTTACAAAAAATTAGACAAATCGGAAACCATTTCAACATCCAATTGTGTCTTACAAAATCAACGCACATGGTACTTCAAGAAAGTACTAAAATTTCAATAACTCAATTGAGTAGTCAAATGATATCGGATTCAAGTGATTTTTTGTAGAGATGATCTTTGAATGAGTATCTACAAAATAGAAGGTTTGAATTAGTGAAATACAATTCGGAGTGGGCCCTACAAGTAGTGTCCCTCAAATAAGTTTGTTTGAGGGATCCCTCAATATATATATAAGAGCAACAATGCTTGAAAACGATGTAAATTTAAGTCCACAACGCCTTAGTACTCAAAGTTGTTGCTGTGACTAATGGTGATAATTTTTCATGGAATTGGGAATATATATGTCCTCAGAATCAAGGGTGGCCCTAAGGGTGTGCAAATGGTGCCACAACACAGGGCCCTTGATTTTTGAGGGGCCCCGATTTTTTTTATGTGTATAATATATGCTTAACAAATGTTATATATATATACCGAGTGAGCAAATTGTTGACACAAAGACGTTCCTAGTTGTGTTGGTTTGCAGGGCCTCAACTTCTATTCTGGGTGCGACTTCAAAACCCGCTTGTGTTAAAGGCTTGTCCGATGTCAACACCAACATTCAATATCCTTGACCCAATTTAATCGATTTAATCCAATTTAATTCTTTTGTGAAATTTCAATTTTGTCCTTGGGAGTAGGGGTACTTTGGTCACTTTAAGAAAAAAAAATATATATATTGTATGGCATTACGTAATGGTGTAAGTTTGTGTTAGCTTATATGAGGCCCCAATTTAAGGTTCGCACAAAGCCTTCAAAATCTCAAGAACGGCCTTGCTCAGAATGACAGTGGCAGTCAAGCCTTATCCAACATTACATTGACGTCCTTATTAATGTTAAACTGCAGGAGAAGTAGAACCTTTGTAGCAAATCTTCTCTCTCTTCATTCACAAGTCACTAGCATCTGTTAACTACATGACCAAAAGACGAAAGGCATAAAACATAACTAATCTAGAAATCCCTTCACCAATAGCCACACACTCAGTAAATTGATGGATATATTAAATCCAACAAATTAATATATCAGTCTCTGAGTTGATTCAATTGAACAAGATTATGCTGCAAGGTCATGCAGTCTTCAGTCTTCTTTCGTCCAAGCAACGTCAACAAGGTATTAATATGTTCAAATGCTGACCAAATATTTTTGCAGAGAATGAATTTGTCACATGCCGTCGCGCTTCTATGCCCATTCTCTGTGCAATCTGCGGGTCCTGGATAAGTTTAGCCATAGCCAAGGGAGAACTCTCTTGGGTTACAATCACAAAGAAATCATG